TTTCCCTTACATGCTTTCGCTTTCTTTTTTCTTTTTTTTTTGTCATCAATTTCAGAATCAGATCAATAGTAACCACTTACGGAGGGCAGAGCAAGAGGTTACCAACCTACAGGGGAAGGTGCAGTATCTTTCTGCACAGAACAAAGGACTTCTTGCTCAGTTGAATGAAGCAAAACGTAGACAAGCAGAGATAGAATGCAAGGTAAATGACATCGTGAATAGACTATTTGTGTGGTACCGTGTATGTACTTTTTAGTCTTGTTCACTATTGTTGGATAGAATTTTTTCTTAATTGAAAAGTAGAAATTGCAAACCCAAACCTTTCTTTTACTGATTTGATTATATCATCCTGAACTTACCACCTCATAAAAATCACTTGAAGTTTTGACAGAGCTGCTCCTTTGTGGTCTCACAAAGATAAACTTTTTAAGTGCGATTCTACTCAGGAAAGTGTGTATAATATTTTTAAAAAACTCTGACACAACAGATTTTGATCACTCTGTACTCTCTCTTCAGTGACATAAGAGGTTCATTACTTCAACACTTACTGAAGAATTAGTTCAGGTTCAAAAAAGGGGAGTAGAATGAGTATTTGAATGGAGAGATCTACAGACAGGAGTGTTACAGTAGTCATTGCCTAATAGTAGCCAGACTTTTAAGAGGACAGTCCAAATACAGTGGGCAAAAGAGTCATTTGTATTCCTGTCAATGTACAAAACAGGGCCAAATCTGATGTTTGAAGCTCAGATTTAATTTGTCAATTCTGTAACTAAATCCATAATCATTCATTTAACTTATGTCTTTAACTTCTGCAGTCATAATATGGACAAGAAATAAAGATAAGTCGTACAAGCTTTTTTTTTCTCATAACTTGTATGAAAGTTTTCCTGAAATTGTTACTGGTATTTAATTCAAAAGGTAGTATTGGTTGACAGATCACTATAGTTAAGATATTTGCTAGAGATATGAAAACAACTTTTTAAATCTTATTTCCTAAGATGTATGAATAGTCTTTATGAAATCAGCTAGTGCTGAACAGTCAGTAATTTCTAAATAGGATACTCGCTATGCTATTTAAAGTTAAATATAGTTAAATAGTTAAAAGCAGGATTGTAATACGAGATTAATAATTAGAATGCTTATTAATTTGTAGTTGTGAATTGGCAGCTTGAGAGCAGATGCAGTTACATAATTTGTTTGTGATCAAATCTTAGTTTTGCCTTTAATGTAACCAAAGTTTTTTCACATGTATTGCTTGTTTCTGTTCTCATTCATGCAGAACACTGCACATGACTGACTGTTTGTTTTTCACTTTTATCCAATACCTGCGTTTTGCTTGTAGCACCACATGTACCCCAAAGACTACATTAGCTGCAATTCCATCAAAGGCTTCTGAGGACAATATGGATCAAGATCCATATTCACTTTCAGTGGTTTATTGTGGTCACTTAGCCTGGAGATGAAATTACATCCTTATTAATATGCATAGTTTTGCTATAATATCACACTTCTCAGTTTTTACTGTTTTTCATTTCTTACTGTAATTTCTTTTATCCAAAGTAATGAGTAAATCTAGGCAGCTTAGTTGTGTAGTAAACTCTGATTTTGTGTTCATTACAAAGCCAGCAGTGTGTCCTTCCTAATTGGCAATTTCTTGCTGGTTTTACTTTTCTGTAAAATGAAACTGACTTTTGTTTTTGAGTTCCATTTAAAAAAAGATAAAGAACAGCAAATAACTGAGATGTACCCCAAGTATTCATTTCAGGGTTTTTTTAGGGTTTTATTTTTCTTGCTATCTTGCCAGTTCCATTTGTTTCCAATGGAACCTGAATCTAAAGTGCGGTGAAGATGTAACTTCTGACTCATCAAACTCTGTCATGAGCTTTTAGGAAACAAGACACTGAATCTTAACTAGAAGAAACTGCTCCTACTGACTGTTTTTTCTTTACCGTAATCACTAGTTTCCGTAGTGCCAATTTTTTTGGTTGCTGAGATAATTCTTACTTTTTTAAATTCACAATCTTGGTGACATGTCTTTTTCAAATAACCCATAACTTTTTTGTTTGATTGTTGTTTTGATACTGAAGGTCCTCATTAATCCTTAAGAGATTGAGAGGGTGTGGTCAATATTCGGAAGGTTTTATGTTAACTACAAAAGAGTAATATGTCTTTAAACTGATTTATGAGTCAATATATACAACTATTCTCACTGGGTTAATTAGTTTGGAAAGTTATGTTCTAGTATGGGTTAAAACGTAATAGTAATAGAGCACCAGTCATATTTTTTAGAGATTTTTTGAAAATAGCAGTGGCCAATAGCCAGTGAAGTAGCAATACAGATGTACACTAACATTAGATCCTGAGACGTGTTTTGCAGTTATGGACAGGAGAAAGATTACGATTCGCACTGTAACACGTTTTTTCAAGTTGATGTCTATGATATAAAATGAAATATTACCTATTTGATGCATATACATTACCTGGAGTTCTACTGTTTAAGTGTGAGCTAGACTGTGATTTAGGATGAGGCTTAGATAGAAAAGTAACAGCTTGTGTATTTAAACAGTACAGGTTTCTATATGTTACTAACTGTATTGAAAAATGCTCAAATTTAACTTTTTGGAAACTACGTTTCTATAGTGTAGTTTCCCCTCTTTCCC